CTCTTCTAGAGCACCGCTGGTAGTCCCAGTGTTCAAAGTAAAGTTTCATGAGCAAAAGTTCAGTAGTTATAGGAACGCTGAGCAAAACATCATTTTCAACTACAGCCAGAACACAAAGTACACTGGCTTACATCATGAAAACAGCGCAGGTCTTTTGTCTTCTAGTAACTGCAAAAATGGAAATCCATACCAAAGTCAGTATGACCCTGGAAGAGCAATAGTTTTGTCTCTGAGAGCTACGCTGTTTACTTTCTTTGGGTGAGGCAGTGGAAAGTAGAATAACCTCTGTCCTTTTGTGTTTGTATTTCTGTTTATGAGGAAATTGGCAAGCATTGTGTAATGCTTTCCTGCTGTAAGCTCAGAAGTAAATACGAAGTGCAAGCGTCAGGGTATTCCTGCCACAATCCCTGAGGCTAATGTATAAGACAGCTACCACCTTGTGTGTGGACTGTTTGCTTTAGGACAGTATTTAAAGCTATGTTATGCTTGTTCCCGGATTTATTCTCAGGGAGGATTCAAAAAAGATTGAGCCAGGCTCCTTACAGTGGTGTCCAGTGACAGGATGAGAGGCAACAAGCACAAACGCAGACACGGGAGGTTCCTTCTGAACATCAGGAAATGCTTTTTTACTGTGTGGGTTATGGAGCACTGGCACAGGTTACCCAGGGAGGTTGTGGAGCCTCTGACCTTGGAAATGTTCAAAATCTGTCTGGACACAGTCCTGGGCAGCTGGCTCTAGGTGGCCCTGTTTGAGCAGGGAAGTTGGACCGTGTGACTTCCAGAGGTTTCTTCTAACCTCACCCGTTCTGTGATAAGATCCCCCTGAGCCTTTTCTTTGTTGTCCACTGAATTTACTCCAACAAGTTCCCGCCTCTGTTGTTCTGGGGAGCCCAGAACTGGACACAGTACTCCAGATGTGGCCTCGCTAGTGCTGAGTAGAGAGAAAGGATCACCTTCCTCATGGCAGTGCTCTTGATGCAGGCCAGGATGCTGCTGCCCTTTGCCATGAGACTTGTGGTCAGCTTGTTGTCACTGTGATCCCCAGGTCCTTCTCTGCAGAGCTGCTTTCCAGCTGGTCTGTCTCCAGCATGTACTGGTGCAGGGGGTTATACTTCCGCAGGTGCAGGATTTGCATTTTGCTTTGTTGATCTTCATGAGGTTCCCATCGGCCTGTTTCCTGAGCCTGTCCAGGTCCCTCTGGATGGCAGCACACCCATCTGTGGACCATCAGCCACTCCTTTCAGGTCTGTGTAAGCTGCAAAGTTGCTGAGGGTGCACTCTGCAGCAATATCAGCCAGCTGCCCTCTGTACTTCTGGGTGCATCCTGTCAGGCCCCGTGGACTTGTGTATGACCAGTCTGTGCTCCCTAGCCTGGTCCTTTTCCACATAAGGTAAGTTGTCTTTGCTCCAGACCGTTCTTCAGGCGTCGGTGGTCTGGGATTCCTGAAGCCTTGGTTTTGCCACTAAAAACTGAGGGAAAGAAGACAGGGAGTACCTCAACCTTTTCTGTGATCAGGGCCACTGCCACATTTAGCAGTGGGCCTGTGTTTTCCCTGGGCTTCCTCCTGCTGTTTATATAGTGGTAGCATCACTTTTCATTCCCCTTCACATCCCTTGTCATATTTAGCTCATCTAAGGATATAATTTAAAATTGGGTTCAAAAGACAGGAATTTGTAAAACCTCAGGTTGTTAAAGCCCATGCCTGCGCAAATAGGTGCAGACAAGCCTCAGTTCCCCTGGGTGCATTTTGAGGAGGCCAGCTGTGAGCTAAGCCCAGCAAGGCATGTTAGCTTGAGTTCAATGTCAGGTTAATGTGGCCAGCCTGGACAAAGGCCAGGGAATCTTTACTCAACATAGTCCATGTACACATCCTTGAAACTGTAATGCCTGTAGCATGCAAATGTGTGCTGAGCACCATACATACTTCTGGTTACAATGGATGTCTGCAGATGCCTAGATTCTATTTTTTTCCATATTTCTAATACCACTTCTAATAATTCATCTGTTGGTTCTGTCAGTCCCAACTCGTGTTATGTTACATTACCTCATGTCACATCTCAACTACATATTGTGCATTTGTGCCTCTAAGAAGCTGTGGCCTAATGTGCAATGGGAAGATCGGATTAATCCTTTTAAAATATTTGTGATAGTCAGAAAGAGGCATTTTTATAATACTGTAAACACTTTATTAGTCTTGTAACGAACCAGGGATTTAAGGGAGTCTTTATATTACCAGCTTGGTAAACAGTTTATGTTGACAGAAGAAATTTTTCTAGTAGGAACCATAAAACTATATTGTGGTATTCCATGCCTCAGTCTCACCCAGGGCCAGCTGAAAAGTAAGCAAAGTACTAATACTTTTTCTCACTAGCTGTTGTATTGATACAGAATGTGGACAATCCTGGCTTTCTGGGAGTGTGCTTCTTGAGTAGTTTCATCCCCTACAGCTCTTTGCAAGACACTGTCTGTGGCCTGGCTTCTTGCCTCACGTCTTTTTGCTTTGCTAACTGCTTTTTGATCATTTTATTCTGTAGGCTGAAGAGACTAAGCTCATGCCATACAGCATAAGAAACCAGGGCATGTCTCTGCAAGAACAGGTGAAATCCAGTTTCCAGAACATGGAAAACTTCACTTTTTATGCTTATTGCGAATGACTGACTGTAATAATTCCAAAGTGTACTGTGTCGGATGAAGAATGGCTCATTTCTTTGCTGTTGGGTAAATTATTTTCCTTTCTTTTTTCTATTTTTTTCTTCTCTCCATCAAGAGCCTTGGTTCGTGCAACCTGTCAGTACCCAAGAGATAAAACAGAATGGCATGAAGGACCAGGTAACTGCTCTGCCTTGGAAACCTCTTTACTGCTGAATAACCACACCTATGAGCTCCTCGGTGCATAAAAGAGGTTGGTATTCAGATGCCCTTTTCTGCTATTGATACTCTAATATACATTGTGACATTTTCTAGTGCTTCAAAATCAGGTGGTTAGAAGGTGTGACTGCTACAGAAAAATAATACACTACTGTTCTCTCCGTTGTCAGTATTTCCACACTTTAAGTGGCAATCTAAGAGCAAATATTTGCTTACTAAGATGAAGGAGGCTCAAGAATAAGTGGATCATTGTAGCCAGCTTTGTAAGCCTGCTTCTAGCTAAACAGAGACATCTTGTCATACTGAAAGATTCCATTTGATGGAGAGAATTATTGTAATGTGAACTTGATCTTATGGCTAATGTGAGTTTGCCTAGTTTCAGTTTGCACTATTGGAGCTTCTTTTACATTTGTACAAATTATTTTGCCATTTACAGACATGGACTTACAGTTGGGACAGATCTCTAGCTTTTCCGTTAAGAGATGTGTCAAGTGTCATGTGTGACCTTTCTTCACAGAATACTAGAATGACTTAGGTCTTAAGGGACCTTGGGAGTTCACTTGGTCAAACCCTTTGCTCTTAGCATGGCAAACTTCAAAAATCAGGTTGCTATGAGCCTATTCCAGTATTTTTTATCATCTTCCCTGCAGATTTTTTTTTCTGATTGAAATTTCTTATGCTGCAACTTGTGTGCACTGCCTTATGTTCATCTGCTGTACACCTTGTAAGAAATGTCTGGCTCTGTCTTTAGCTACCTAATAGGCAATTATAGGGAATACAACAATTATATCCCCCTCCTTATCTGCCGTTCTCAAGGCGGAACAAGCCCAGCATTCTTAGCCTCTCTGTATGTCTTGTAATCCAACCCCCAGTCATCCTAGGGCCTTCCTGCTATACTTGCTTCAGTTTGTCCCTGTCATTTTTGTGTATCAGGGAGCTTGAAAGCAGATGCTGTACTTCGAAGGTGGTCTTACAGGTGCTGAATAGAAAGCAATAGTTGCTTCCCTCAACCTGCTGACTGCAGTCTTACTAATGCAACTCAGTATATAGTTGACCACCTCTGCTGTGAGAGCACACTGCTGACTCATGTTGAGCTTATCTGCCAGCATGCCTAGGTTGTCTTTTGCAACGTACTTTTACAGCCAGTTGGTCCCCAGCCCATAGTACTGCATATGTTTTTTTTTCCAAGCCAGGTGTAGGGCTCTGTATTTGCGTTTTCTGAACTTCGTGATATTTCTATCCATCTGTTTCTCTAGCCTGTTGCGATCCCTCTGGTTGGCAGCTCTGTACTTTGGCTTGTCAGCGGCTCATTAGAATTTGGTGAACTCATTGAGGTGGATTGTATCCCATTGTCTGGGTTAGTAATGGAGAACTTAATCTGCCACTCTCCCCAAAATGGCAAAATATGTATTGCTGGCTGGTACAGCTGCATTTTTGTGGTTCTTCACCTCCACTTGCTGGATCAGTTTGGCTCCTGAATTTCAAGGAGACGAAAGAAGGTATGCTAAGCAGCAGTCAGGGAATATATGCCCTCTCCAGACTATTCCCCCATGTCAAGGTCCTGTCCTGTCACATACGTGACGTGCAGAGGTCTCATCATCTCTCAAATGTGACACTTGCATCCACTTAGCAAACATCAGGGCTGAGTTCACCATTCCCACTACTTATTAACAGAAAGCTTCTTTTATGTATTTACAGGCCTTTTTTATGTTTGGCCTGTAAATAAGTGACTTCATTTAAGAATCACTTACTCTTCTTTTGAGTAAACTGAACAGATCATGGATCCGTAATATCATTATTAAGAAAGATCAAGAATGAACTATGAGGGTGATTTGAAATCTGGTAAAAGAGTGTATTTTTCAATCATACATATAGAGTGGTGAAGATATCTTCGTATGTCTTACCAGCACATTCTCTGCTTTTGTGTTCAGAGAGTCTTGCTGCTTTTGTTAACGTAATCTTTTCTTTGTCCCTGAGGTTTTACTTTGGCTTTTCTCTCTTGGCTGAGGAGACTTATTCCCTGTAAGCCTGATCACCTCTATAGTGCTAGACATCAGCATGAAAGGATGCTTATTCTTCTTAGCATTTTTGACTCTGTAACTGTATTCTGACTTTTTGTTTTAGGCTGAAGATGCTGAGCCGTTTGTCAGGTTTAGCAAGTACTGTTTTACAAGAGCTGTCAGGTGATGATGGAGATGCAGTTACTGAATCTTCTATTGCTGTAAGTACAGTGTTATCTAAAGTCTTTCAGATCTTACTGAGAGTTAGTTTGGGGAGTGTGAATCATTTGACTGCAGTGAGAACTGTTTCCTACTTCTTCACTGCTGAGCACTAGACTGAGCTGTCATTCCACTCTGCTTCTCCTATGTTCCTGACCTCTAAAGTCAGCACTTTTGTGGGACAGACCATAATCTCCTTAATTTCCACATCTCAAGGTGATCCTAGAAAACAAACTAGAATTAGCGTGAAGAAAGACTTTTAAGAGTACTAATGATTCTGTGTGGCACAAAGGGGAGCTCTACATGATTGGTTGACAGTGGAAGGCTTTATCTGTGTGTTGCCATTTGGTACTTGAGACAGTGGATAGTGTGTGAGTGGGTAGAGTCTCTCCACTGCCACTCATTTCATATTTGCTGATGTTGTGTTCAGCAAAGGTGCTCTTTTTTTTGTGTGTTGGCTCATGGGTATCCTGAGCTTTCCTTCTTGTTTCACCTGTGTATAGTTTTATAGGCTACGTGAAATGCTTGCGAGGAAAAGAGTGCAGCATTTAGGAGTGGAGCTGAAGGTATCATTTGGAAGCTGTGCTGCAGTCTGTTTAGACTTTTTTTCCTCCAGAGCACTTGTTTCACTGTTTCAGGTAGAAGCTATAGAGCCAGAAGCGGAGAGCATGGAGGAGGCACCTGAGGAGCTATTGGAACGCCTAGCCCAAACAGAAGAACTAGTTGTTCAGCTGAAGGACTTGATCCGGGAGAAGGATGCCCTGCTTCAGCAAAAAGAAATTGTACTCAAGGTATCTTTTTTCACTGGGGACCTGGGAGCAAGAGTAAAATGCTGCTTCAGCTTTCTGTGCAAGCCAGTCTCTGGTTTCTTTTGAACGTTTGAGACATCTGCACTACTAAATGCATCAATTCCAGAGAATTATTGGAATCCAAAGAATGGACACTAGCCAAGAGATGTAGATTAGCTTCTGTTCATTTTGCTTATGGGTAATTCCTCCCAGAGTAGATAACTTACATCCAAGTTATGTAGCTTTTTGTCTCGGAGCTCATCAAGGCCCATGCAGATTCCTGGTTGCTGTAATAGATACTAACATCTTTTGTGTGAGCTTTTTGCTTCCCCACTTCAGAATGTTAGAGACAAAGAGTAGGCTGTGCTGCAGTCACCCAGCAGTCCAGTGGTTTTATGGCATGTGACTGAAGATACATATTGCATACCCTGAGGCATGAGAAAAGGTGCAGTTACCTGAGATAGTGTTCAGGGACTGCGTGTAGTAGAGGAAGTCAAACTGAGTTTGTACTAACTGCTAGGAGAAGTCCCTTGAGTGATCTATCCCTTGAAGAGAAAGTACTAGAGCAGAAGCTAACTGTTTTGCTGTGTATAGTGTTTCAGAGCAAATTTGTTTCCTGGATGTGTTTTACGTAGCACTGTTACTGGGGAGGCAGGTTTGGACAAAGAATGGCAGACTGATAAATCATGTGACTTTTCCAAGTGATGCTTTCGGGGTGATAGCACTAGAATTTGGAGTACAGTCAGTGTGTATCCTTCTTTTACAGGAAGAGCGAGAGGCTGCAGATGCTAAGCTGATGAAGCTTAAACTTCAGGCCAAAGCCAAACTGGCCTCTCTGAACAAACGCATTGAAGAGCTGTCGGAGAAAGGATCACCGTTGCCTGCACAGACCTTAGCAGAAGAGCAAGTGTATCCGAAGGTTGGGAGAACAGGGCTGCTGAAAAGATGTTAGCCTCTACTGATAATCTCGTGCCACCCTACTTTTTAGGTCCCAGTGAGCTAGCAGGTCCTATTCTCTTGTTAGAAGGACATTCATAGTTCCAGCAAGGATGCCTATGCTATAGGAAGCCGGTCTGTCCAGCTTCTTTGTCTTGCAGATGCCCTTGGAGTGCACACCTTGATCTCCTCAAGGGTATGGGCCGGTTCTACTTTGCGTACCTTCTGGTGTAGCCAAGTTCTTTCCTGCAGAAATCACATGTCTGTCTGAGCTGTAAGTTTCAAAACGTTATCTGTCATGTGAGTACAGCAAAGTAGAGTGAAGGTTGGCTGAAATACAAGAACAAGGAGGTAAGGAGGTCATTAAAATTGAAAGGCAGGAACTTAAATGAAAAAAATTATATATATATGCTTTCCAGCCACGAGGCTTCCTGTGCCACCACAAAGTTTTATGGTTAACAAGCTGTAATTGTGTAAAGCTAAGTAAAAAATGAGGAGGATGTGTCCTGTACCAAGACATTGAAGAAGGTAGTAGTTACTAGCTAGAAAACCTCATTGGAGCTGTTAATTTTTGAAAATTTAAAATTGTTCTGCTGACCGCATAGTTTTCTTTAAAAAGTTGGTAATATCAGGCAAGGGAAATGTGATAGAAGTCCAGACAGATTGCAGGACATCAGATGATGTTCATTAAACCAGAGAAGGTAAGGGTTATTTGAAGCAATGAAACAAAAATAAATTAAAAAATTTTAGGAAACATTAAAGGGTGAATGTGAAAGCTGTCAGGTGAGAGGTGACTACTAATGCAGTAAAGATCAAAAACTTCTGGTATCCTGCCACTGTATACTGCAAGGCTGTGAGAAAAATTTCCTCGGCTGCAAAGGACAGTGAAGGTCCTGGAGGTTGTTTAGCTATGTCACTTCGCATTGCTGTCCTGCTGCTGAGGCTTTTTTTAACTTATTCATATGTACCATGTGTAGACCGGTGTGCTGTTACATTACTTTGTGTAGACTTACTTGTGTGGACTAATGAGTGTTCTTGCTTCAAAGTTCAAATTTCAGTTGAAGGCAAAATGAGAGAAAGCTTATCATCAGTTAATCGGCATGATGTAGATTTTAAAAAGAAGCCTGCTCTTTTTTTATGTAAGGCAAACAGTTATCCTTCCAGCTATTGTACCAAGAGTGACAAGGCCTCAAGTGGGATGTTGTCATGTTCTGTTCACTTGGAATTAGGAAAGATAAATTCTGAGAGCAGAAAAAAGACTTTACATTCTCCCATCACGTTAGTGGCTGCTTTTGCTAGGCACTCTGAATAGCTTGTCTATTTACTCAACGAAAGGGGGAAAGGAAACCTAATTTCTGTCTACAGTTGTTGGACTAGATGACCCGCAGAGGTCCCTTCCAACCCCTACTATTCTGTGATTCTGTGATTCTGTGAGAACTGTTAAAGTGAAAGGACAGTACTGAAAGCTGGATGGATGGGTCTAAATTAGCCATGTCCTTCTAATTAGAGGATAGAGGTCTTGATACAATCTCCAGTGGAAATGATATGGATCAGAGCCTTATTGGTTTTGGGTTAGAACATCATTTAAGAGAAATGATGTTAGGGCAGTTGCCTGCAATATTATGTATTTGACCTGGAAAGCACTTTCTAGATACTTTCTTGTAAGGTTAGACCTACTGAGAAGCTACAGATTGCTTTATTTATTTATAATTATTTCCCCAAGTAGATGATGTCTTGACTAATGGTGATATTTTCCAGACAGGTACCCTGTCATCTGAAGATGAAAAATTTAGGTTAGGATTGTAAGTTGTGCAAAGGTACTGAACATTAGTGGTTCCTTTTGGAAATCACGAGGAATAAATGTAGCTATGGGCTTTTTTTTCCTCTCCATGATGGGGGCACCATGGGAAGGCTGTATTTTAAATATCTAATTGGTACTATTATTTTCTGGGCTTTTAATTTAACAAGGTGCCTCATTTTCAGGAGAATCGAAATACCAGCTTATAACTTTCTATTAAGTAGTTGGTATTTGCATACAGAACAATTGAAGTTCCTCTTAAACCTTTGAAGTGGGTAAATGCAAATTATGTTCAGATATAAGAGTTTATGCATTTTGGAAAAACATGATGTTTGAAAGCTTGAGCTCTGGGAACTTTGTGGCTGTGCTGCTGTCCTTAGTTGCAGTACTCCAGATAGTGGCCATTGTGCAAGGACTTTGAGAAGCTTTTCCAAATCCGACTGTAAATATCAGTCCTGAAAGCTAATTCCAAGTAAGCAAAGTGATCCACCCATCTTTCACCACTAGCAATTGCTTTGCCCCAGCTTTATATATTATGTATATCCATGGCTTCTTAAAGCTTCCCGCACTTGTTGTTTCTTTTTTTATTTCCCCTGTTCTACTTCTAAGCTTAAGTGCAATTAAAGCTTTCCTTGTCTGTCTATTCTACCTGCTTCTAAAGACCTTCTCTGTAGGTGACATCTTTTGAGGGACAGTAGCTTCTTATCACACTGACTTATACGTCGTTCTAAAAGCCTTCATAAATTTTTCGGAATGGATTTAAGGAATATAAATACTCTGTAGACTCCATACGTTATTGGTGATCTTTGATCCAATACCTGCAACAAGGAAAAGGAGAGAGAGATACATTTTGTATATATTCAGTCAAAAATCCCCAGCACTAATCACAGAATCACAGAATGGTCAGGGTTGGAAGGGATCTCTGTGGGTCATCTAGTCCAACCCTCCTGCCCAAGCAGGGTCACCTACAGCAGGCTGTAGAGGATCTTGTCCAGGCGGGTCTTGAATATCTCCAGAGAAGGAGACTCCGCAACCTCCCTGGGCAGCCTGTTCCAGTGCTCTGTCACCCTCAGAGGGAAGAAGTTCTTCCTCATGTTCAGACGGAACTTCCTGTGCCTCAGTTTGTGCCCATTGCCCCTTGTCCTGTCACTGGGCACCACTGAAAAGAGCTTGGCCCCATCCTCCTGACACCCACCCTTCAGATATTTGTAGGCATTTATAAGGTCCCCTCGCAGCCTTCTCTTCCTCAGGCTGAACAAGCCCAGTTCCCTCAACCTCTCCTCGTAGGGGAGATGCTCCAGTCCCCTCACCATCCTCGTAGCCCTAAAGTCAAAAATTTGCAGTGCTGTATGCTCCTTGCATGCCCCTATGAGAGGGTGTGAGGCATAACCAGGACAGAAGTTTGGGCACCTCTATGCTGCTACATAAGAACTAGGAAGAAAAGATGACTGAAGGGTAACGGTCTGCTCACTTTTTCGAGTTTGTTAAATTAGAAGGGGAAACGTCCCTCCCATCTACATTACAGCAAACTGAGTTTGCTGTTTTACCGGATTGCTGTTAGCAAGACTTACAGCAAATCTTGTTGCATAATGTTTTTTTACAGGGTGGATTTGTAATGAATGAACTTCATGGTGGCAGGCTGACAAAGAAGACCAATATTGATTGCAAATGCCAAAAGGCAGAAGAATAGATTGGGGATAGGTGTCAAGTTCTGCTGGGGATGCTACCTCTGAGTTCTGCCATTCAGCCAGTTCTTAATCCACTTCACTGACCACTCATCCAGCCCATACTTCCTGAGCTATTGTACCACTATTGGTACCTTCCCTAGTAGGATATTATGGGAGACTGTGTCGAAAGCCTTGCTGAAGTCTAGGTAGACAACATCCACAGCTCTCCCTTCATCTACCCAGCCAGTCATGTCATCGTAGAAAGCTATCAGATTGGTCAGGCATGATTTCCCCTTGGTGAATCCATGCTGACTACTCCTGATAACCTTCTTTTCCTCCACTTGTTTGCTGATGACCTCCAGGATAAGCTGCTCCATCACCTTTCCCGGGATGGAGGTGAGGCTGACCGGCCTGTAGTTCCCTGGGTCCTCCTTCTTGCCCTTTTTGAAGATTGGAGTGACATTGGCCTTTCTCCAGTCCTCGGGCACCTCTCCTGTCCTCCAGGACCTCTCAAAGATGATGGAGAGTGGCTCAGCGATGACATCCACCAGCTCCCTCAGCACTTGTGGGTGCATTCCATCGGGGCCCATGGATTTGTGGACGTCCAGATTGCTTAAGCGATCCAATTGCTTGAAGTGTTTGGAAGGGCTGAGATGATAACAACAGAAGGATGTTTTTCCTGCTTCTCAGTGACAGTCTTGATATGCTGGACCTAATATGTGACTATGTGTTAAGCAGGTTTACAACTGTGTTATTAAGAGAATTGCCTGCCATACAAATGGTCTTTGATAGACAAAAAAAGAGTGCAGGTGTAGTATGTTAGTATGTCTGAGTAGAAATAGTCTAAGCACATTTTATGTGAAATATTGTCTGAGTTTAAATTTAGTGGTCATAAACAGAGGATTTTAGTACCTCAGAGTGGAGTAGAACTGATGATTGTTTGTATGTTCCCTTTGCTTATTTCTAACGGGTCCATTGCTATAAATCCCTGTAGTCTATGGGCATTTTCTGTAGTCTAGAATCTTTAATGTTTGCCCCTTTGTCACGTGGAGAATATTCTTCTATTGCTATTTAAAAATTGTTTCTTTTCTGGTATTAGAGAAAGCTGTGAAATTAAGAAGTTTCACAAATCAAGGTGGTCACATCTTAGATTCACATCTTAGATTGTGTATTGTATTTTATTTAATAATGTGATTTATCTTAGTTTATATGGTAAGCGTTCACGGATAATTACCTGTTCTAAAATGATTTGACACTTCCCAGTGAAAAACATCTTGCGCGTACCTAGCTAGAAACAGGGAAAATAATTACTTAACATAGGATGATTTAATTTAAAGAAAAAAAGAAAAAGTAAAGTGAAGAAGTTAAGAAATATGGTGGAAATAAGCATCTGATTAGGAGTCAAGAGTGCAGTAGCATTCTAATTTTTTTTTTTTAAATTGACCAGTAATACTGATCAGTTTACTTTCTTCTGTTTCTTTTCTTCCCAATTCTTTCCTCTTGCAATGGCAGAATAACCAAAATACAAATGAAGGGCATAGAGAGGAAGCTGAAGCATTAAAAGAGCAGCTCAGGGAGCGAGAGGAGACTGTTCAAGATCTGAAACAACAGCTGGCTCTAGCCAAAGCAAATCTGAAAGATGCTGAAATCAAGTATGCAACAAAGGTACAGAAAAATCTTTCTGTTCGTCAGCCTGTGTCTGTTTTTCCCACCCCACCACTTACCCTACCATGACAGAATAGAATAGTTCGGCTGGAAAGGACCTACAATGATCACCTACTCCAACTGCCTGACCACAAGCTAAAGCAGGTACAGACCTATCAGTCATCCACAGATATGCACAGAGCTGTCTGGGACTCCCCCAGTCCCTCCAATAGCCAACTCCCCTGTGCTGGCTTGCTTTTAGAAAAATGCATGCATTAGTGCACGCGTATGCACACACACACCCCCCACCACTGCACCTGACCAGGGCTTCCCTGCCCCCTTCAGTAGCTAACTCCCTGTGGTCTTACCCTTAGAGAAACACAGACATATATGCACACCCTAACCAGGGCTCTCCTGGTCCATCTGGTAGCCAGCCTCTTTGTGTTCTCACTCTTACACACACAGGCATGCACACGCACACAGCTGACCAGGACTCCCCTCGTCTCTCCAGTAGCCAGCTGCCTCAGAGATTCATTACGTACATAGACAAAAGCAGAGCTTGTCCTTAGAGACCCCCAAGACCCTATGGCCTCTGGCAGCTGGCCAGAACTCCCCTGGTCCATCCAGTAGCTGAGTCTGCCTGTGATCTCACCCTTGGGCACCATTCCCCCTCTGTCCTAGCTCCCAGGCTACTTCACCTACTTGCCAGCTAGTCTGGCTTGATACTTAGTGATAATACGTTCATGTGCACACTTGCACTTGTTCCAGTTTCTGGCACCACATACACACAGGTCCTCTGACCTGTGGTCCCACTGCAGGTGCTGGCATTTAAGTTCACTTGCTCTAATTTCTCAGTTGCTGGGACTGTGGACACACAGGCCCTTTGACCCACAGTCTGATTCCAGTTACTAGCTCTTAGACCCACCTCATACACACACAAATGCACACCGAATACAGACCCTCTCCCACAATGAAAGAGTTAGAAATGGTGTTCAGTAAAAGACAGGACAGACTGCTGGTCAGGTGCAGGGCATAGTTAGACAAGCATATTGAGCAGCCAATGTTTACACAGCTGGCCTTTTTTAATTCCTTTACCCTCTATTTTTTAATTTTTGTTCCTCCCCAAATCACCTAGGTCCATCCGTTTCCCTGCCTCTGGTTCCTGCTCTGAACGTTCCATAGCCTTTCATAATCCCAAAATGCTCTTCACCTGCATCCCATAATATATCCTATACCCCTAGTCAATAACCAGCCTTGGCACAAAAGGTGCTCGGCAGTTAAGTCACCTTACTGGGTTTTGCGCTTGGACAGTGGGACTGATGGCTCTCTGAGGATGGGGGGACTAGCCCCTGGAAGGGCCTGGACAGGGTGTCCGTTCCTCTGAGGCAGAATTTGGGTTCTTCCCTGCCTGCCGGTGCTGTTCTGGGGTGGGCTTTGGAATAGCTGGGGCAGAGTATTCTTTCAGTTCCCAGACCTGCCGTTGCCTCTCTGTGTTCTACTGTGGGTGTGCAGAGGAACTTTTTATCACATAATAGAACAGCTGTTATGTTACATTGTATTTATTTAGGAAAAGATTTTTATTGATACTCTGAATTGCAGGTTTAGCTTTTGATCTGTGAATGGGCTGCATCCTATACAAATAAAAGCCCAAAAGTTTTATGAACTTGTAATTATATAGTAATCACATCTGCATATTTGCAGATGAAATTCGATGGGTTTTGCTTTCTGAGATATGAAATATTATCAGTTAATATGTATGTATTAGTAGGATAAAGATACCATCTGACCAAGGTGACATATAGGATTATCAAACTGAATACCTCATCACACATATAATATGCTGGTGTGTGTTGAAAGCAAACCTGCATGTCTGTCAAGCTCATAAACTTCTTGGTGTTTTTTTTTTAATTTTGTGGCTTATGTTTTCAGCTGAGCTCCCTGCAGGAATTGATTCAGGAGAAAGAAGCTCTCCTAGAAGAGCAGGTTCACCAGCACCAAGCTGAATTGCTCAAGACAGTGGCCCGGTCAGATCTGGAAGCAGAGATGCAGCAGGTATTTTTGATATAATATTCTTATTGTGGGAGGAGAAAGGAAAAGAAATTTTACCAGTCTGAAGACACCCCAAGAGATCAGTTCTCATCAAAGTAACTCAGAAGGGGTGAGAAAGAGATACAGTTTAATTGTTTGGCGTTTGGGGGATGCTAGTTTGGACTTCTAGAGTCCTAGCTTCAATCTGCTGATTTGCTGTCAGTTGAAAAGAAAGAACAGTTAAAAAGAAGTTTTACATTATTGTGCTCCAGTTCTTCATTTGTGAAACAATGGTGAGCTCTTCCTAGTGCACGAGGGCCCCAGAATAAGTGTCAATAAAAATGAAGTTATTCAGGCTATTAAAATAACTGTGTTATGAAAACTAGGTGTATGGAGGAAACCAGGAAATCTAGACTTCTTATGTTAGCCTCACAGATACTGGTGTAGCACTGTCTCTCTCACAGAACCTGTGTACACTTCAGAGAAAGCTAGAGGAGCAGGAAGCAGCTCTGCTAGGACGCACTCAGGTGCTGGAATTGCTGCAGCAGGAATTACATGCTTCTAACAAAA